GGCCAGAGAGAGAGATTTGGAACCAACAATGTCAGATTTTTTCATGGCTACTTGGACTTCAGAACCAGAAAACATTTTAAAGAATATCTGGGCAAGCCCAGCCATTTTTCAGCAAATATGTATGATTATTTTTTTCAATACATTTTTATTGATTTCAGAGAGGAAGGGAGAGGAAGAGAGATATAAACTTCAATGATGAGAGAGAATCATTGATCAGCTGCCTCCTGCACATACCACTCTGTGGATTGAGCCCAAAATCCATGCATGTGGAACTGAACCGTGACCTTCTGGTTCATAGGTGGATGCTCAACAACTGAGCCACACCGGCCAGGCTATGATTATTTTTAACACTCACATGGAATTATTGGCAGAATTAGGATTTGAACTTGGGACTTCTGGGACGATGGGGGGGCAGCATACACACTGATTGGCTAAGGAGATTTGCTGCTCAACATAAATAATGTCAATTTTAACATTTAAGCAAAAAGCTGTGGATAAGTGGCTAAAATCCTTTTGTGGAGAGGGAAAATAGAGTTAAAATTGTGATAAGCCACCAAAGCCTCGATTTAACACATTTAAGAACATATTCTCTTTTCTGAGAATGTCCTAATCCCCATGCTTGTCACTTCTCATTGAGGCCTTTGTGGGAAGTTAGTGAAGTCTGCTTAGATTTGCATGTGATTTCCATACTGGTCCCCAACCCCAAACTGACGTCAATGAGGAATCACAGGATTGTTTCTGTTCTGGTTGTTGGTCATTTAGCAAGAATGCTGAGTGCCTTGGCCTATCAGGCAAAGCCGTCACCCAAGGAAAGCAAGGCCGAGGGTCAGGCAGCCCTCCTGATTCCGATGCCCTTCAGATGCCTTTCAAAAAGCCACAAAAGACGCCCAGTGCAGTGTTGCTGTGTGTGGTCTGAGCAAATTAGCTATGAAAGAAATGTCTGGGGCAGCTGAGGACATCTGAGTTTGGACTGGGCATACACGGCACTAGAAAATCACAATTATTTTGGATGGGTAAGATAATTCTGTTAGTGTTATGTTAGACAATAGTCTCGCTTTTTAGAGATGCATTCTGGAATATTTGGCAGTAAAATGTCAAGACATCTGTAATTTCCTTAAAATATAAACTACCTTAAAATACTAAGCCAAAAAAAGTACAGGATAAAACAAATACAGCAAGTATGAATATTCATTGTAATATTCTGTCTACTTTCATGTATGTAAAAGTTACATACTAAACATTTTAAAAAGAAAATAAAGTTATTCTGTTAGAATTAGAGCTATGAAACATCATCTCTTGATACTCTATTTGACCAGCCAAATCTCAACCAATATGGATAGACGCTATGATGAACAAAACAAGAACTTTTTTTATGTAAAAAGTGCACACAGGTAACTAATACAGAAATGCCTTTCACTCATTGCAAGAAATTCCAACTATCAAAAAATGTGAGGAGTAACAAGTGAACACCCCTCTCTGTGGGTTGCCTTTTCCCTGTCAACTCCCCCAAGAGCTCCTGCCCCCATTCGTCCCGTCATTAACAGTTTAGTGTGAGTGGGAGAACAGATTTGTGTTCTTCAATGCTCAAATCACTCAGTAAAAAAATAATAAAAGCAGAGTAGGGGCAGGGGGGAGGGGAGAGGTAGAATGAGAGGAAAGCAGCTTTCTGAATTGCTGGAAAGGTGGTTGCAGGTATATTATTTTTGGAAAGACACCTAGATGTTCACTCTTATTCTCCCCATGAGGAGAATATGACCTTGATACTGAGTTCAGTTTATCATCCAGCAGAACCTAAAGTTTGCAAACGTGCCCTTAAACCCCAACCCAGGTTGGTAAAGGTAGTCTCTCCAGGAGTGTAATGTTGTATACACTTTCCCCCACAGCCCACATTCTGGAAACTGCTTCCTCAACATGGCAGGGCTCAATCTGGGGAGAGAATGCCACCATCAGCTCCGAGCCCTGACGACTTCCCAGGGCTTCAGAGTGGCAGCCATGGCAAGGCCAGCTGCCTGGGGTCATGCTGCCTCCCTTTCATTGCATATCCTTAGTTATAGGAAACAGGAACTCATGATCAATGAGTAGGTGTCAACTCTTTTGACTATTCAGCAAGCATGGGCAGCGTGTTATACCGAATACATGGCGGTTTTATAAAAATACACAATGTTGGTCTGACTCATACTCTTTACTCCCTAAAACCTGATAGAAGCCAATTGTGCACGAATAGCCGTGCACAACAGGCACACATATAGCAGCTTGGACCGGAAGGGGCCAAGCAGCCACCTACCTCTAGAAAATGTGGCCTCCATCTACTCACAGTGTTATGAAGTCAAGTTAAAGGATCGTCCAACCAAGGGTAAGACCTCACTCTACGTGCAAGCACGTGATGTTCCCAAGGCACAGTCAACAGTGATCTTTCAGGCAGTGTGATACAGTGGACTCACTTTGGACCTGAGTCTAACAGAGTTGGCATGTGAGGTCCAACAATTGTGTGTAGGAGCATAAGCTAATGCCTTTAACTATCTGAGCCTCAATACCCTCAATTACAAGAAGAATAAATTAAAACCATCTGCTTCAAATGGCCGAGATAATCAACATGGTAGCCTGCAAATAATTGTAAACAACCACCTAGTCCTGTTTGTTCCCTGAGCAAAAGCCACTCAGTTCAACCATCTAAGGGTTAAGAAAGCCAGCTTGAGTGCAATCAGGGGTGGAAATATTTTATTTCTCAACAACGGTTCTGTCATTTCAGCCTCGCTCTGCCTCCCCCCAGCTCCTCGCCCGGCCCAATCCCTGCAGCTGCCAGTGGGACTTGTAAGCAGACCCAGGGCTCCGCAGTAATGCTCTTTGAAAAAGCATTGTGCTTTCATAAGTCACTTTTCTCTCCTCGGGCTAAGTTCACATGAATTAGATTGCAAGGCACTTTATGCAAAACGCCTGACCTTCACTGGCTCTGATTTGCATTGTCATCGTTTCTTTATTCTTCTAAAGTGCCTTCATTTTGCATAATGTTATTCAGGCTCTGCAGTTAGCACTATCTCATTTCTCTAATTATAACCATTTTAGGCAAAGCTATAGATAACCTTCAGGAACCCGTGCCTGTGTGATATTTCATTCACAAGGAAGAAGCAATGGAACTGGACTTAAAGGAAATAAAACTAAAACAGCTCATTTAGGGTGGAAATTTAACACTCTAAGACTAGATTTTCTTTCCCTTTTTGGCAATTAAGAGAGTATTGTCTGTGTCCCCCATGAAAATTTCTGCATACAGGCAGTGCTTACTGAAGCAGGGACACTCATCTAAGCAGGACACTGGACATCAACCCGTGCCCTTGATGTCTAACTTGAAGTCTCTCTTTCAACTGTCCCCAGGGGTCCCACCCCACTGCAGGAATGACATCCCAGGCCAAGGCCTGGAATCATTTAAGGAACCAATGTCTACAAGAGACATGACATAGGACATCTTTATCTGCCATCTATTAGTCTAGATGAGATTCTGATCCTTCCTTCCATTTTAAAATTGGTTGGAAAAGACCCAGAAAAAGATTCTGAGAGATGGGAGTGGAGACGGGAGTGAGGCGATGACCCCAAACCAAATGTCAGCCCTTTCACTCTTTTGCAAAGACCCCTGATTACCATGTGGATGTGCTAAAGAGTAGAAAGGAGCATTCATTTTTCATACTACTTATTAAATACCTACTATTCCCCAGACATCAAGTGACAGGCCCTCATTACCTCTCTGGGGTCCTGCCATCGGGATAGGGATATGGGCTCACCTCTCATCTTAATATCCTGGCATCCTAGATGCTTCCATACTTGGCCCCACAGCTCTTCTTCCATGCCCTGCACTCCTACACGTTCTCCACAGGCCTGCTGAAGCCGCCGGCCGCTCATTCTCCTTGAACATGGGCCTCCCTGTCACTGTATGGCAGCTAACCTTTTTATTCTGTCTTGAATGAGCTTATTAAGTCACTCTACTTATCGCAACTTACTATGATTGTCAAGGTCCATTTTATTTTTTGCATTTTTTTTCAGTTACAGTTCACTTTCATGCCCCCACACTGGGGATCAAGCCCACAACCAGAGCATGTACCCTGACCTGGATTGGAACTGTGACCTCCTGGTTCATAGGTTGATGCCCAACCACTGAGCCACGCCATCCAGGCTACTTTCAATTATTTTGTGTTGGTTTTCAGGTGTATAGCATAGTGGGTAGACAGTCATACTATACTTTACAAAGGGTTCTCCTTGGTATTTCCAATCTCCACCTGCACCATACATAGTTATTACGATATTATTGACTATATTCCCTATGCTGTACTTTATATCCCCATGACTATGTTGTAACTACCAATTAGTACTTCTTAATCCCTTCGCCAAAGTTCCTTTCAGACACTACGTCTTTGTGAATCATTCTTCGTGGCTGTCTTTCCTGCAACCCGGTAACACCCCGTTTTCTCACCTACACAACTCCTCCTCGAGCTGTGGGAATGGAGAAACTTTCTTTGACCCTCCAGTCCAGTTTAGGTTAGGTTTTCTTTGTGGGTTAGCCCACAGTTTTAGAGAAGAACCTTCATCTGTATCTGGCTCCGTCCTTCCTATGAAGACACCAGTGGGAAAGAAAGACAACTGGCTTCTCTCTCTCAGTTCCTCACTCATTTCATCTCATGGAAGGAAGAGTGAGGTATCAGATTCCTGGGTTTGGGAGGAGGGGCTGAGGAAATGTGTCATGACGTCCTCGTTTGTTCTCTCCCTCCCTGTTCTTCTACCCCTGGAAGCTGGACTGTCGGCAGGATACTTGCTTTCTGGCCTGTTCGCCGCCAGGTGGTAAGCGCTTCTTTCTATGGGGGAAGCTTCGCTGTCCCATTACACCAATGTGGTGGGTAAGTTCAGCTCTGGCCTGAAGTGTTCTTAGTGAGACCTCTGGGTGACACATCTGGTACCACATCCTTCAATCAGTTTTTTAAAAATATATTTTTATTGATTTCAGAGATAGAAACATCAATGATGAGAGAAAATCATTGACCAGCTGCCTCCTGCACACCCCACACTGGGTATCTAGCCCACAACACGGCATGTGTCCTGACTGGGAATTGAACTGTGACCTCCTGGTTCATAGGCTGACACTCAACCACTGAGCCAAGATGGCTGGGCCCTTCAAAACAGTTTTTATCACAAATAGCACCCACCTGTTGCTGTGTGTTTCTCCCCTGTGACTCTCAGCTGACTCAGAACTAGACAGAGCAAAAGGCCATGCTTCAAACCTCCTTCAAGATGGTTTTCAGTATAGTCAGAACCAGTTTCTTGCTGTCTCTTCTCCTTCGCCTGTAAATTCCTAGAAGACAGGGACCGTATTCTTTTCCATGTTTGTATCTTGAGTTTATCACGTTATCTGGTTCAATATCTTCTGTGAACAGATGGATGAATGGAAACTTTATACCATATGCATGGCTCGTAATATGTCTGAGAACAGAACTACATGCGTAAATAGAGAATGATGCATTCTTGTATAATGCAGGATGCACACTTGTTTGCTCTCTGTAACTAACTCTGATTCAGTGTCACTGGTTGCCTGCCCATTTGCACAACCTGCACCTCACAATGGTGCTGCAGGCCCGCGGTTGAGGAGCACTTTCTCCACTGCTTGGATTTTCCAACGCTGAGGACATTGCTAAGGGATTGGCATTGCCAGTGTTCTGGCCTGGGAGGTGCAGAGCTGTTCAACCCTATCACCCAGAGTTGAATCATCCACAAAGCACAGCATCAAAGCTAGGTGATAGCTTCCCGCTCGCCCATGATCTTCTCTTTATGTGTTTCCACTCTGCCCTTTCTAAACCAATTCTGGCCCTTGAGATACGTTAAACCATAACGGCATCTTCCTCAGCCTTCCTTATCGCGAACGAGCTGACACCGGCATCCAGGAAGCCCGGGATGGCTCTAGAGAAAGAAAACCAATTATTTTTTTCTGAATAGTTTTTCCTCCGAATTCTTATGCTCCTTCCCAGAAATGTAGCTGTGTTATTTTTATCCTGAATTACCAGTAGGTGTGTCTCTTTCCAGGAGACTTCCTCTGAAAGCAGTGGGAAATACGTCAGAATGCATCCTCAATTTCGACACATTAAAAATCATTTTTATTTATTTATTTACTTATTTTAATCTTCACCAAGGGTATGTTTTTGATTTTTAGAGAGAGAGGAAGGGAGAGAGAGAGAGAGAGAGAGAGAGACATCTATCAGTTGCCTCCTGTAACCACCCCAACTGAGGATTGAACCCACAACCTGGGTATGTGCTCTGACCAGGAATCGAACCTATAACCTTTTTGGTATAGGACTACATTCCAACCAACTGAGCCATCCGGGCAGGACAAAAACATGTTATTTATTAATTAGCCATCTCTATTGTCTTCACAAAGGAAACAGACACTAATTTGAAGATGATCCCTTACTAGGATGCTGTCCTCAGAACCCTAGTGTCCACACGAGGGCACTCTTGAGACTAATCCCTTCCCAGGGTGCTGTTCTCAGAATGTCCACACGATGGCACTATTGTTATTTCTGAGCAATAATGTGAGAGGAGCAAGAGAGATTCCAGTGGCCTAAGTTCTTGGCACAAAATGATTTGTGAGCCATTATTGAGAAATGACCCCTGAGTTATATTTTTCATTGCACCTTTAAATTTTATACATGCTTGTATATTCACACACTCTTTGGCCATTCAAATAATTTGTAATATAAGGAGGGATGTGGTGCATAAACTTTCACCAAAAAGTTTTTACAGGGAGACGAGAACAACGTACAGCAAAAGGCCATCATCATGATAGGTGTTCCTATCGGAGACATAAATTCAAACCTGCTTTTACAGGAAGACTGGCCTCACGCTTAAGCTTACAGGGTTTGGAGTTAAAAGACCTGGCTTGAAATAATAATAGCATCTACTTTATATAGTTGTTCTATGAATTAAATAAGAATATTTATTAACCCAGAAAACTCAAAATGGATAAAAGACTTAAAACGTAAGATGGGAAATCATAAAAATCTTAGAAGAATCCATAGGCAGCAAAATATCAGACATATCTCATAGCAATATGTTTACGGATACATCTCCTAGGACAGTGATGGCAAACCTATGACACGCGTGTCAGAGGTGACACGCGAACTCATTTTTTTGGTTGATTTTTCTTTGTTAAATGGCATTTAAATATATAAAATAAATATCAAAAATATAAATCTGTAATACCTTAACTAATAAAGAATTAAAAAATATATATATAAATCTTTGTTTTACTATGGTTGCAAATATCAAAAAATTTCTATATGTGACACGGCACCAGAGTTAAGTTAGGGTTTTTCAAAATGCTGACACGCCGAGCTCAAAAGGTTCGCCATCACTGGCCTAGGACAATGGAAACTGAGGAGAAAATAAACAAATGGGACTACATCAAAATAAAAAGCTTCTGCACAGCAAAAGAAACCATCAACAAAACAACAAGAGAGTCCACTGTATAGGAGAACATATTTGCCAATGTTACATCACATAAGGGTTTAATCTCCAAAATTTATAGGGAACTCATACAATTTAACAAAAAGAAGATAAATAATCCAATCAAAAAATGGGCAAAGGACCTAAATATACTTTTTGAAGGTGGACATACAGAAGGACAAGAGACATATGAAAATGCTCAAAGTCACTAATTATCCGAGAGATGCAAATCAAAATGACAATGAGGTGCCATCTCACACCTGTCAGAATGGCTGTCATCAACAAATCAACAAACGACAAGTGCTGGTGAGGATGTGGAGAAAAAGGAACCCTCCTTCACTGCTGGTGGGAATGCAGACTGGTGCAGTCACTGTGGAAACCAGTATGGAGTTTCCTCAAAAAATTAAAAACAGAACTCCCATTTGACCCAGTAATCCCACTTCTAGAAATGTGTCCCAAGAAGTCAGAAACATCAACCAAAAGGAATATATGCACCCCTATGTTCATAGCAGCACAATTTACCATAGCTAAGATTTAAAAACAGCCTAAGAGCCCATCAGGAGATGAGTGGATTAGAAAACTGTGGTACATCTACACAATGGAATACTACGTTGCTATAAAAAGGAAGAACTCTTACCATTTGCAACAGCATGGATGGACCTGGAGAGCATTGTGCTAGGGGAAATAAGCCAGTCGGAGAAAGATAAATATCGTATGATCTCACTCATGTGTGAAATATAATGAACAACATAAACTGATGAACAAAAATAGATCCAAAGTCATAGAAGCATCGAAGGGACCATCAAACCTCACAGGGAAGGCAAGGGAGGGTAGGGGAGGGGAGGTAAGGAGGGCTGGGGAGAGGGAGTAAGTGATCAACCAAAGGACTTGGATGCATGCATATAAGCATAACCAATGGACACAGACAAAGGGGGGCGGGTGAGGGCCTGTGCTGGGGAACAGGAGCGGGTGGGGAGAGGTTAATGGGGAAAAATGAGACATATGCAATACTTTCAACAATAAGGAACTTTTTTTTTTAAATATATTTTATTGATTTTTTACAGAGAGGAAGGGAGAGAGATAGAGAGTCAGAAACATCGATGAGAGAGAAACATCGATCAGCCGCCTCCTGCATATCTCCTACTGGAGATGTGCCCGCAACCCAGGTACATGCCCTTGACCGGAATCGAACCTGGGACCTTCCAGTCCGCAGGCCGACGCTCTATCCACTGAGCCAAACCGGTTTCGGCAATAAGGAACTTTTTTAAAAAGGAAGTTATTTATAGGCTAAGCACACTGGTTGGTGGTCCATGAAGCCTATTTGTTGTAGTCATTGATGTTGTCCTTGACAATGATGTTATTTCCATCAGTGGTTAAATTAGGTAGGGTGTACAGTCAGAAGGAGAGTTTGGAAAACGATAAGCCAGTATTGCACTGATGGGCCCGCTTAATGGGTTCTCCTTCTTCATGCCCTTATCCTGTAACTTAAAGCCCCTTCCCCACCTCTGACTTTGGACGAAGAGTGTATTTTGCTTTGGCCATTAGGGTGTTAGCAAACATGTCATTAGGATGTTAGCAAACATGTCATTAGGATGTTAGCAAACATGTCATTAGGATGTTAGCAAACATGGCCATTAGGATGTTTGGCCATTAGGATGTTAGCAAACTCAAGGGTTTAAGAAGCCCTTGAGTGTCTCTACTTATCTTGCATGATTGAGTTTTCTTGAACATGAAATCCTACCAGCTCCATGGAAGCAAGCCTGACTTAGCCTGCTGGAGGCTGAGAGATTGGGCAGAGCTGAGTTGTCACAGCCAAAGTCTTCTTGGACCAGTCCTCACTCTAACATGTGATATCGAAGCTCACCCAAGATCAGCAGAGCTGTCACCTAACTCAGCTGACCACAGAAGCATAAGTGAGCCCAGTCATGATTCACCAAGCTCAGCCAGGATCAGCTGGAATTTAAAACTAAATTTAATCAAAGTTATAAGGACCCTGGGTTTTATTACCAAAAAGTCATAGGCCTCGGACGGTGACTACCTACCATGACCTGCCCAGTTAGAAATTTATGATCAGAACACCCTGTAGGTTTACTAAGATCAAATACCTGGAGATGATGGTTCTCCTTGTAACAGGGCACATTTGGAAACCTTGGCTATTACTACGGTTCGGACAGAAATGTGATATTTGAGAGAGAGACGCATAGACTCAGACAGCTTTAAGGGACCGATGGAAACCACCTGGTTTCCTGACCCCAGAGGCACCCAAGAGCGCCATCTGAGATTCCTTACAAAACGTCCCAGCAAAGCAGTCTTAAAAATAGTTTGTGGGGTCAAACACTATTCTCGCTACACTTATGTAAATAATCAGGCAAGTTTAATGCAAACACATTAGTTTTACCGTGATTATCTTTGATACAATGTGGGGTAATTATAGAGAGAAAAATCATGTTTGCACCTTTTAATATAATAATTTATAATCATGTTCATTCTCTTCGAGGTTTTATTGAATTTGAATGTGTACTATATCCTCAATTCTAGTTTCCTCAAATACCTGACTTTAATTCTGCTAATGAACATGTCCAATTTTCTCCCACTCTTCTGATTTGGAATCATTAAGAACAAAGAATGTCCTTGAATCTCCTTGGAAGGGACTCTACCAGGTCCTACTCAGTACCCAGATGGCAGCCAAACCAGTAACCTGAACCTGGGATATACATCTCACGATGAAAAAAGGCTCCGTCTGCCATCTGGTTCAGTTCAAATTAAATGGACTAGGAAGAAAGTCACCAGCACCAAGACAGACTGCTTCTTCCCGGGACGCCACATCAAGACTTCACACTTGAACTCAACATGAATCCTCTTTTTCAAAAAATTTCTGTTACTCTTGGATTGGCCTGGAAATATAATACCACCAACCATATCTCCTAGGCCAGTGGTCGGCAAACTCATTAGTCAACAGAGCCAAATATCAACAGTACTTCTTCAAAATGGACTCACCCAGGCCGAAAACGACTTCTGCGCATGGGCCACGAAGTTTCAATCGCACTGTACATGCGCCCGCACGTGGTATTTTGTGGAAGAGCCACACTCAAGGGGCCAAAGAGCCGCATGTGGCTGGCGAGCCGCAGTTTGCCGACTACGGTCCTAGACCATTGTTGAAGGGGGTAAACTCTAAAATTTAGAACAACTTATTTCAGGAGAGGAGAAAATCTAACAGGCCCCTTCCTTGAGTGGGCAAATGCAGCAATCCCTGCAGATGAAAACATTAACAGTGCCGCCTTAGCGGAAGTGGTTTGGGTCGGATAGGATTTGTCTTTGTCTGTGGTGGTTACCATTTTCCTTGAATTTATAAGTGCCTACATGGCTAGGTTATCTAACTGAGCCACCAACTGTTCACAAACACACGGGGACGCCTCATTGGTCAGCTGCCTGAGTTTACATTGCTGAGGTAGAAAGTACCTACCAGGAGGCTTTCATGACTCAGGATTCATTTTCTTGGGCAGGTTTCTATTTCCCTGGTTAGGAGTAAATACAAATGAGGCTACAATCCAGAACTTCTTAATTCATTAAAATATTGTAGAATTTGACTCGTATGCATGCTTATAAGCATAGCCAACGGGCACAGACAGTAGAGGGTTAAGAGCCTGTACTGGGGGTGGGGGGGGGGGGGTGGGAGTGGGCTGGGAGAGATCAATGGGAGAAAAAGGAGACATATGTAATACTTTCAACAATAAAGAATTAAGAAAGAAATATTGCAGAATTTGATGTTAAAGCCATAACAGCTACACAACAAAAATACTTAGACAGGCTGCCCATAGTCTCAGCAGTTCTGGAAATGGTCTCCTCCTACAGAAAATACAGCAGGCGAAAGGGGGCTGGCACTCAGGGACCGACCTTGCCGATGCTTTCTTCTCTATCTCAATCTCAGGAAAGAGCCAATCGATCGTAGTTTTCCTTCACATGGAAAGGATTCCCATTAGGTTTACTGCGCGGCCAAAGGTTATCTGAACTCACTGGCCTATTGTCCTAATTTAGTCAGAAGGAATGTGGACACTGATGACATTATGAGACCATTGGAAGCCTAAAAGCAGGCTGGCACTGGTTGGAATGCAGTGGCAATGCGCACGACCACCTAGGCCTGGGTAGTAAATCCAGCGAAGATCCCAGGGCCTGCCAGACAGGAAAGTTCTTAAGAAGAGCCTGGGCAGGAGCCACTCGGGATATTCCACCAGTGACTAAAACTAAGCTGCTGTCATTACACACCCAGAGGACGAAGCAAGAAGGCCAATGTTTGGTGGGTTATGTATCTGGATTTGGGAGAACACGTATTCCACCGTAGGGAAGATTGCTTACTCCTACCCATAAGACTACTTATACATCTAGATAGACATTTCAAAATTTTCCAAACTAGGACCTCCTGACACACAAGTTACCAAACTCATTTTGTTGTCAGTCTAGTCCATTTTAGTCAATGACGTTAGCAGCTGCTCAGATGGAAAGCCTTGCAGTCATTCTTGTTTTTTAAATCTTCTCCCAATGCTAATAAGCATATTTTATCAGTTCTTCCTTTTAAATATGAAATTTTTCATTATCCTTCTTTTCCAAGCTCCTATTGTCTTTCTCTAAGAGATTTGCAATTACTTCCTAACTTATCTACTTGCTTCTACTTTGCCAACTTTACTCTTTATTGTATTGAACAGCTACAAACATTTTTCAAACATGAAAATCAGATATTTCATGCTTCCATTGAAAGTATAAATAGCTATTCTATAAATAAAATATCGATAAATAGGTCCTCATTGTGCTCAAAATAAAACATCAAAGCTCTTACAAGACCTACAAGTGCACATATAAACTGACCTCCACTCACTTCTCTGACTGTACTTCCTATCACCCCTTCCCTTTCTCCATCTCATTCACCTGGTTGAGAGAATCCACAAATGGCTTTTTTTTTTTCCTGTAGCCAAGCTTTGGCCTACCTCAGAGCATTCATACCTACTGCTCTTGTTTGGAATTTTTCTCACACTGATATAATGTATGTTTGCTCCTTCATTCCAAACTCTGCCCAAATGGACCCTTCTCAGAGAAGCTGTTTTTATGACCATATCTAATTTAGATTCCCAGCCCTAACCCTCTTTCTGCTTAGTTATCTTTATTCTATTTGTAGCGTGTTTCCCTACTGGAAATTACATTATTAATGTATTTGCTCACTAGAGTCCACTAGATCAAGGATAATATAGGCCTGGGTATTTAGTACACATTCAAAAAACCCTCTTTGAATGAATAAATTGATTGAGGATCACTACTATCTGTGTGTAAGCAACCCAACTATTCAATAGAATTGAGAATTTAGAGATAGAATATTGGTTTTCACCATACTTACAGAACAACATCCATAAAAAACTAATACTCGTGAATGATAAACAACATTTGAAAATGAACTTATGATTTCAATCCTTACCTTTCCATTCTGTTGTACATAGAGATATTACACTCAGTGAAACTTTAGTATTCTTCATTAGAGTCCACATGATTCTTGGTAATAAAAATAGCAGCACAGCACCTGAAACATAGTCACCACTCTATAAATAACTATTACGTCAATACATGTTGGAACATTTGTTTTCATCTAACTTAGTCTGTCAGCTGATAATGCATGGATCTTTGATTTTTAGATAATAAAATTAGTTCCCCAATATTGTTTCAGGATATGGTAATGATTACCTATAAACTTGATATTAGAACTTTGTATTTTTCCCTCAACTTTTTAAAAAATATACTTTTATTGATTTCAGAGAGAAAGAGAGATAAAAACATCAATGATGACAGAGAATCATTGATCGGTTGCCTCCTGCATGCCCCCCACTGGGGATCAAGTCTGCAATGCGGGCATGTGCCCTTAACCAGAATCAAACTGGGGACCCTTCAGTCCGCAGGCCAATGCTCTATCCAATGAGCCAAACCAACAAGGGCGCCCTCAACTTTTTGAAGGATTTTGTCATATGTGTAAATTACCAGGAAATTAATACTGCTCCCCAAAATGACAGGTGATATTTAAAGTATTGTTGATTCTAAGTAAGCATTTGTAATATATGTTTTGAAGGAAAAAATACTAATGCTTACCAACATTTATGCGTGGTTTTAATTCATGGACATTCCTTATGGTATGTAGCTCTAGAAAGAATTATAAAGTGTTTCATTTTATGATCTCAGTTTTTGATGAAATATTTATATTTCATGAGTCTTAATGAAGGCTTTTGAATTTTGAACAATAAACTTTCATAAATATTCATTGAAATAAAATAAACACTTCATGTCTTGTATGGAAAATGTAATTAACTAAAAGTTAAAACAAACTCTTTGGAGTATTCTCATTAGATATGAAAGAGTGGATTCTGTTATATTTACTTTAAACTCACTACAGACTATATCTCATAAAATAATATCAGAGAATTTACAGTCATAGTATGTGCTAATAGCATAAGTACTGCTAATTTTGTTAGCAATTCTAAATAAAATCTGAAATAAAATATATCATAGTGTAGGACACTTCACAAAAGGTCTACATTTGCCAGAAAAAGCTGCTACAAAGGTGAACTATATTTTAATGATCAAGGGGAGTTAGTTTTAATGAAGTTTGCTGAAGAAAGCCCTTCACATCCTCTACTATTATTATATACTCCAGTAACCCAGCTCCAGTAGACTTATTCTCCTGGGGATCTGCTGAAAAGACTGCAAATGGTTCATGATCTTACACAGATGCCTAATGTACAAGAGATTAATTTTAAAGTAAAAAGAAACCATTAATTTGATTACATTGGTAACAAGTGGTATGATGTGTCATGTTTTTCAAGTGCACACAAGAATGTAAAGATTCCTATATATGATATTTTGGAGAATGCTTACATTTTAAAGGCCCTGTTTGCATAATATAAAATCAAGACATCAAGGAGATGCATGACATCTTACTTACCCCGGCACATTTAGACAAAATCCAGAAATAAATGGATGGCTCCTGAATGTCATTACCAACAGATGCAAATGAAAAGTATGCATGTGGAAAATAAATACAAGGAAATCTGTAGCCCTAGCTGGTTTTGCTCAGTGGATAGAGCGTCAGCCTGCGGACTGAAGGGCCCCAGGTTCGATTCTGGTCAAGGGCATATGCCTAAGTTGCAGGCTTGATCCCAGCAGGGGGCCTGCAGGAGGCAGCCAATCAATGATTCTAAATCATTGATGTTTCTCTCTCTCTTTCCCTCTCCCTTCCTCTCTGAAATTTTAAAAAAAAATGTTTTAAAAAATTTAAAAAAAGAAGAAATCTGTAGTGGTTTGTGTGATTAACTCAAACTCATATATAACTTGGGACCTTTGTTATCCAATTTTCAATTCAGAAATCTGGATTACATTTAGTTTTAATTCTGTGAAATAAACAGTCTTATTAAAAAGACTGACAATTTATAATTAAATGACATAAAATATTAAAATTTGTGATTCTATGATCTATTGTTCAAATTCTGTGTTCAGACATTCTTTGGTTGCTCGGCATCCTCATCTGGAATATGTGAGAGATGAGGACAGTGAAAGATTCCCACGTTAATCAATGCCTATGTCATCTTGGAAACCAAAAGGTAAAAGATCAGCTTCTGAAGGTATTTCATCAATCTTACTGAGCATATTAAATGTGCATTTAAACAAAACTGTTTTAATTACTGCTTAAATGCATTCAGAATACCAAAGACAAAGATTGAAGAATTTTATCTCCCTTAGCTTCATTTTTTACACTTAGCACATTGCTTACAATGGGATATCTAAAAAAAAAAAATTACCTAACTTAGAAAGGTTTTTTCCTCTCTTCATAACAGAAGGGGCCAGAAAAGAAAGACAATGGGTTAGTTTCTGTAACAGAGAGCCTTAAAGAAATCTTAACCTCCCAAATCATCTTACTCCAGAACACTCGCCTGATCCGCTCCAGATCACCATCAATCACATTGTCAGGATAAACCATCTAGACAGCTGGGACAGACGGACTCCAGAACTCTGGAACGCAAAACAGTCTGATGGGACAGAACACTCCGGGAGCTCAGTTCCCAGGAGCCAGCCAAGGTGCAGAGATAAACATAGGCCTTCCTGAGAATGTGCCTTTCCCACACAAACACCCTCAAGTGTAAGAAGGGCATAATGATCACTGGCTCAAAAAAAATCAAGATGAAGATTCAGGTCAGTCCTTCTGATAAAGCACTGGGCCAGCAGTGGTGTGAGCCAAGGGTAAGGGAAAGAGAAGATGCACAGTCAAGGGTGGAGAGGATGGCTATCTGATGGGACACAAGCCCAGCTGCAGTGGCAGGAATTACACTTCATCTCGCGCACCTTCTTCTTGTAAGTTTCCCACGAAAAGAAACTTACTTGAGTCTCCACATAAGTTTCCCAAAACAGGATGGACTTACTGTTCAAAGCATTTGATTTTAGTCATTGCAAGGGGTGGGCTGTGGGGACCTGACTGTGCTGCCAAGATTCCCCTTTGGACAAAGGTGCTCATCCCTGACTATGAGGAATGCTCACTCTTAGAAGGTTGTAGCTGACGTCTAAGAACAAAGGTGCTCATCCCTGACTATGAGGAATGCTCACTCTTAGAAGGTTGTAGCTGACGTCTAAGAACAAAGGTGCTCATCCCTGACTATGAGGAATGCTCACTCTTAGAAGGTTGTAGCTGACGTCTAAGAACAAAGGTGCTCATCCCTGACTATGAGGAATGCTCACTCTTAGAAGGTTGTAGCTGACGTCTAAGAAATCTGTCAGAAGGGGAAGTAGTTGATTTAAGTGACCATGGCCTGATCCCTTGCCTCCTTTCAGACAACTCAGAGGACCATTTTATTTTCAGAGCTCTTTATACAATCCGCTGAGGCAAGTTCATCGCAGTTTAATCTGTCTCAAATTCTTCCCTCACTCTTTTTCTACTTGCCCTTCTCCCTCTACCTCCAGAGAGAAACCTAACAACTATGAAAATTTATCTGTTTCCTAGATAACAGAGAGCCGAGACACCTGCAATCAGATGATCAGATAGACTATGAATTTCAGATTAAGATCTTGAGGAATATCAAAATACGCAACCATTTCATATTTAGACTGAGGATTTATGGGGAAATGGATGTGATTAGATTAAGGGAAAGAAAAATGTTTGGGAGTTTGACCTGACATTTAAAAGCAATCTGAAATTTTTAAAATGAAAATAATTCCATGAATTTTTCTTTGCTTTTATAGGTACTATGGAAGACATGAAGGACAAAATGCATCCATGTTTCCAAACTTTTTCACAGGTCTCCAAATGGTCATTGATCCTTGTCAAAAGTAAGTATCTAACTCAGCAGGCATAAGATTAACAAGCCAGAAACACTATCGTTGATAATTATGAACACTTATCTATGTTTAAAATCATAAAACCAAGAGAAATTTGTAGTAAAATCATTTTGGCTCTAGCATATTTATTACTTTCAATGCACTTGCTTACCTAAATATCTCAGCATTTAAGAAAGAAAATTTATTTGGTGAAATAATTGTTGGGGGTTCCTCACAAGCTCTCCAGACTCTGCCTGCAGGACCTAGAAAATGTGGGATGTCAATTTCATGAGGAGTTCAGCCAGTTACGATGCTAATTTAGATGCTTTGCCAAAAGTAGGAAAACATTAACAGTAACTTAAAAAATGGCAACGGAGAGACTCCTGAAAGGAGAACCTTCTGAGAAATGGTCTTTGCACAGGGAGGGAACCTGTCTTCTCCCCAGTCTATAAATGAGCCTTTTTACTGTTCTTATAGATTTGTCTACCAAAGTTGTTACTCACCTTCATGATGGCTTTCCAGATGGTGTGGAGGTGACCTGTGGGTAAAACCGCAAGAATCAAAACCAGTGCTTGTTACTAGTGATCAAACAATGTTTTATATTGTGATTAATGTTTGGAAACTGGTGAGGGAAGATGTGGGTCAGAGGAGAGAAGATAAAAACTGGGGCTGATTTTTATAATGTTTGACTATTTCCATAGTGGGCAACTGTCTCATTTTTTTTCATTCAAGAGTAATACAGAAATGAGGAAGGCACTGAGCTTAGTTCTTTGCTTCAAAGGGATCAAGAAAGAGAGAAGAGAAAGATGTGTAAGTCAGGTAAACAATGTAAGTAAGGGCACATGGTGGTAGTGACTAAGGACACAAGTTGAAGAAAATGGCTAGACTGTTCACTGAAGCAAAAGGTACATGTCAGAAATCAGGACACTGGAACATGACGGTGACATCAGCTTTTGCTCCTAGCAATCCAGCATCTGGGCACCCATTTTCTTTGGGGGATCCTGCAATTTGCACCTCTCGTTATGGAAGTCAGAGTGATTTTCACGGTCAGAGTGCAGGCTAGGCTGTGTAACCAGATTAGAACACAATGTCTCAAAAGAGAACTTTATTTCATTCTTATGTAAGAACAGCTGTCCCATCCATGAGCTCTGACCACTTACTTCTGGCAGGAAGTTCAGGCAAGTGGATTGGTCTTTAAATATTCATGACCTTAAAGATGAACCACATACTTCACACATTTCACTGGCCCTTGCCAATTCCTAGCTAGAAGGGAGGCTGAGACATGTAGTCTCTGGTTGAATGGACTATGCTCACCAAATTCAAAAGAAAAGGAAAGAATTGATCCTGAAGAACAATTAGCAATAGTTGCTACAAGGATGTGCCCTCTAACTATGTAGCTACATATAAGCTGACTGAGGGTTAGCCAATGAGATCGGTTCCACTGGGAGCTTTGGACTGGAGGATTGGTCATATCTGACAGCAGCATCTTCCTCGTATTCTCCCTGGGTGTGTCCTGAGTGGGTGCCTACCTGCTCGAGCGTACTTGGTTCCTGCTGTATTCTAACTCTGGTTCCTTTTGGGTAGCTCCCCAGAAGCGCAGCAGCTTTCAGGACGGCATGCATAGTACTTCATAGTATCCGCTGAAACACAGGATTTATTGGGAAAGCTTATGAGCCAGAGTTCAACAAAAGAAAGCACTCTAAACCCCAGATTCCCATATTCCCCCAGGAGGCACACAGGGCAGGCTTTTCTGGCAAATGTGCTGTAATACTTCATTCTTATGATTCTCCCTTCTTATAGGGTGATACAACTTTCTCAGTGGAGAACTAAACAGACTGCATGTTAGAAGGCAAACGTAGCCCTGGCTGGTGTGGCTCAGTTGGTTGAGCCTCACCCCATGCACCGAGTGGTCTTTGGTTCAATTCCTGGTCAGGGCACATGCTTGGATTACAGGCTTAATCCCCGGTAGGGGGTGTGCAAGAAGCAGCACAGATGTTTCTCCCCCCCACCCTCTCTAAAATCAATAAGAAGCTGTGTTTTTTTTGTTGTTTGTTTGTTTTTTTAAAAATATATTTTATGGTTTTTTACAGAGAGGAAGAGAGAGGGATAGAGAGTCAGAAACATTGATGAGAGAGAAACATCGATTAGCTGCCTCCTGCACACCCCCCACTGGGGATATGCCCCCAACCAAGGTACATGCCCTTGACCAGAATCAAACCCGGGACCCCTCAGTCCACAGGCCAACACTCTATCCACGGAGCCAAACCGGTTAGGGCTGTGTTTTTTTTTTAAAGGCAGACTATATTTGGGGTGCCGACTTTTTAGAGGAATTGTCCCGGGAAGCCAGTAGCCCAGCTCGTGGAATGTGAGGTTGTGGCGATTTCAGCTCCTTGTGCCACAGGGAAGCTCAGTTTGACTGCACCTCCCCCCAATCACCACTCAAGTGATTGACCAGGCAACTGCATATAGGCTCTTGGGGTCTCATTGGATGATTTTGCTTTTCAGATCGAGCTGTGTTTCCTATTGATTTTATGAACTGTCTGTCCACTCTTCTCTCTCCTTCTGGAGGGAATTGGTTTCTGTTGTATACAACCACGACAATTGACTAATAGACTATTTGTAACCCAAAGAAATTTAAAACTTAAACAAGCAATTGAATTATATATTTTGGGACTGGATTGGATCCCAAATAAAGTAAGATATTATTATTCCCATTTTACATATTGGGTGTAGAGGCCCAGAGATATTCATTGGTAATTTTACCTAAAACAATTATTAAATGAAAGTGGTTTAATGCAGACTGCCATGCCTTTAAAAGCACCTGGTACACAAGTTCATTTGCAGTGTTAGTTACTACAGGTGACCAATCTATACTTAACATGATACTTTTACTGGTCTGGATATTACTACATATTTCAAATACCTGACATCTTGTATTTATAACTATAGATTGAAATTAGATCTAGACAGTTGAAGCCTTCCAGGACAGTAAGAAATTGATCTTCTTATACTGCTCAATCGGCGAATTGTCTATGACAATACAAGGTCATAATGAATTATCTCGAGCTTAACCATTTTTCTTGCCATGAATTTCCATGCTCTACAAAACAGCAACCTGATATGTATTTACTATTTCATTCAATGTCAATAAAATTAAAAAGAGTAACAGTATCTTATATGTGATAAAGAGATCACCTGCCATAAAAGTTGCAGTTGGTTTTACTTAGTACTCACGCCTTCAGTCTGATGTTCTCTCTTGAAGCTACGTGCATACAGGTAATGAGGTGTCACTTGGGAGCATCTTGCAACTTGTCTGATGAGACACGTGAATGATAGCTCCATCTCCCATGATGGCTTGAAGTACGTCATCACAGCTGAGCATTCACTCCCTTCTTGTTATAGTCAAACAGAAATGTTAGCATAACTCAATTCTGGGACAAAAGACACTAAAGATGAGGTTGTAACCGATTCTAACAGTTAGATGTTGAATAAAAAACATGAATCAGAAAACAATCAGGTAAACATTAGCCTCTTCAACTAATCTGCAAATGTGTAAGCACATTCACTGTTTGTACCAACTGATGTAAATGTGCGTTTGTAATGAATTAGAGTAGGAAGATCTCATTAATACTGTGTAAAAGCAACATTTGAAGGAAAAATAACTGAGAATTCTCCAAAGGGAAAAGGAAGATGAGCCTGTGGGTGAAATGTACATTCTGAGTATAATACAGGATTAATAAGGCAAATTCTATACTTAGGCAAATCCAGTACAACTGCAGAATAGACTTATTAAAAGACTTAAAGTTGAGTAGCTATGGTAATAAAAATAAAAATACCCAAAGAATAAAAAAAATAAAAGAAGAAAATACAATATATTATTTCTAGAAGGGAGGAGAAAGGTCTACATAAAAAGAAATGTGGTTACATTGAAACCACAAAATAAGATAATAGAAAAAATTCAAATATATGATTAATTCCAGTAAATGCTAATGGATTAAACCCATATTTTTAAAAAGTGTGTGTTTGCAAGTAACATTAGGAAAAATAATACAGATAAGGGTACTTATAAGTAATTTCTAAAATGAAATAATACAGTGAATTAAAAATAAAGAGATGCAAAATTGTATACCATGTCAGTACTTTTTAAAAAAACTTGTGCACCAGTATTAATATTAAATCTATTAGAATCTAGGGCAAAAGTGTTAATGCTGATAAAAACCTACAGAGAAGGTATGACAATCATTATTTGTACGCACATAGCTTCAAATATAAGATGAAAATTAATAGAATTAGATGATACAATCACACTAGAAACTGGTGGATTAAGCATTATTTAACAAAATTAAGTAATAAGATCTAATGGACCCACATGATTGTATGCAATAAATAAAAGAATATTTATTATTCTCAAACTAGAGGCCCAATGCATAAAATTCGTGGAAGAGTAGGCCTTCCTTCCCCTGGCTTCCTGCACCGGCTTCCCTCTGGCACCTGGGACCGGGGCTTCCCTCACAGCCCTGGCTTCGTTCGGAAGGACGTCTAGTCTAATGAGCATATTATGCTTTTATTATAATAGAAGATATACAGAAAGCCATTGAGGAGGATGTGACCATTGTCTGTCCCAGGAGCTGAACCCGGGACAGAATGGAGGTTGCTTTCTGCAAACCCCTTTAGAGACTGTCTGATCATACTTGATGATCATCCTGACAGAAATCAACACCACTCTTTTGCCTCCTGCTGTGTGCTGGTTCCTGGAACAGGTTATTGTCCTGACCTGGGCAAGCACGTAAAGTACTTTCCATACCTGATAGCATTCACGTACTCATACCCATGACTACCACCCCAATGACCCTTTACACAGTATAATTCTCTGGTGCCTGCCAAGCGGTGTGGGGATCCATTTCATCTTGTAGCTGCCCAAGACATGCCTCAGATGTAAGCTTTCCTTAATAAACTCTATTAATTACCAGACTAGAGTGACCAGTCTCTTTCTTAAAGAGGTAGATTTTTAGTCTAGGGGCTTTCCCCTGGTTTAAGTGTACTAACATCCATTTTTAAAAAAACTATTTCAAAGAATGAATTAAATCTTCTCTCTCTCCCACGAGACCAACTATTTAGGTAAGTTATCAAATGAAAAGGATAGTTCAATCATTTATACATATTGAAAAAAGAAAAGCATGCCTAACTAATCCAACTGCTCCAGAGATGTCATAATGGCAGTTACAAATTATTTTAAAATAAATAACGGTAAGAATAACTCTAAAGTAAGTAAAAGGAAGAATAAAATCAAGACAGGAAATAATGAAATATATAATCAAGAAACGAAAGAAAGGACTAACTAGTTCTTAAAAAGAATTTAATAGCGGGGGTGGGGGGGGGAACTCCTGCTAAACTAATTAAGAAAAAAAAAGGCAGAAGTAAATAACACTGGCAACATAAAGGAGCCATACCAGGTGGAGTAGATGTTTAATGGCATACTGGAAGAAATGTTCTGAATAAATTTGAACTAGCTGACATGGGTAATTTTATAGTAATGCTGCATTACCAGTATTAATTTAAGCTTGGCTAAACTGAGCCACCAAATAAACTGAAAGAGCAATTGAGAATCCCCTCAATGTAAAGAGGAGCCACATTTGATCCACCAGTAAACTAAGTCTATAAAATGGCAGAATAGTTTATATAAGGAAATTAGTAAAATTGGAACATTAGCTTTTGTATCAATAAGTAACATTGATATGTGATAAAGTCATGCAATTTCCCTATACCCATGATTGCCATTTCTTGTATCATCCCCACTAGAATTCTTAACTCATGGTCCGTCAGGTTCTACAGTACATGTCCCTTCCCACAAAGACTTCCGTGTTTCATGTTCTTCACTGTTTTCTGTGATCCTGTGACTCTGTCTTGCATCATGTGTTTGTGGGCATGCCCAATCCCCGAGCTGGCCTGCAGCCTGTCTGTTGTGCCCCATATGGAGCCCAGCAGAATGTGTGATTGTAACTAATGCTGAGAGGATAGGTGGCTACTACCTCCTTCCCTATAGAAAGCAGCAATCATAGCTGTGACCTGACAGAGGGCAAGGGCAAAACAATGTCTGAGCCAAGTCTGTCCACACTGCAGGCAGCCCCACTTGGCACACTGACATGATCAAGAGCAAACAGGACGAGAGCTTCCCCACGCTGCCTCTGGCTGGCTGTGTGCCCACCTTGCCTCCCTTCACCCACAGCTCAGGTTTCATCCTTCTAAATATAAGGTGTGCTCAGGGGTCCCAGACACCCCACAGTGCCCCAGGGCCTTCTGGGGCAACACAGTCTATCATGGATCACTACAAATTGTTTTAAATTATGCATTTTCTGAGAAAACTTTAGAATCACATTTATTTTAAAAGAATAAATTGGATAAAAGAAATAGGTAAGTGACTAGATCATGGCTGTGTTCGTATGTTTTCTTTTACCTTTAGGTTAGGTTTATTTCAGACAAAATTAGTTGTGGGCATTGTTTGTAGTTGGATGCAAACTTTTCTCTTACTTTTCCAAATAAATACCTGCATTGATTACATTTTTTAATTACAGTATATTTGATTATAATTTTGTGTGAACTTTCCATTTTTTAATCAGATATTTATTACATGGTATTAAATTTAAGTTGTTTTGCAAAAAATATTCATGTGGAAAAAAGAAAAAAGAATGTTATTGATGTCAACCTCTCTTTCCCTGTCTCTGTTACTCAGACTGCTGCTCACAGTGTCTGGCGCTTGCTCACGGGGATAGCAATGGCATCGGTACCTTCAGTTGGTTGCCTTCTGGCCAAAAATCAGTATTATCGAAGTAAGTAATATCATCACTAGAGGACCCCTAGAGAATATGGTATGAAGTGATGTCTGAAGGGTATTAGTAACCCATGTATTGTATCCTGGTCATTTTACGGTGAAGGAAGACTGATGTGACAGTGAAGGACAAAGGAGTAGAATTCATTGGAGACTTCTCCAAATCAGTATTATCAAGGAAGGCTCATTTCTTTAACTATGTTATATGGTATCGATAAGGCCACTAACACATAAATAAGTGATCAGCTTATATTTCAAAATAATGTTTAATTTCAATACTTTAAAAACCAATAATTTTTAAAAAATAAAATATTCAGTTTTTAGAATAGAAGGGATATCATAACTATGCTTCGTGGATTTTCTAATTTCTACTTTGCTGCTATGGATAATAGGTTAGCATCTATCATGACAGTTTTATTTTTATCCATCTGTATTTATAGCTCAATAGAAAATTGTAGCTTCTTAAATCCAGAAATTTCATTAAATAAAATGATCACTTTAAAACCAACGTATCGCCCTGGCTGGTTTGGCTCAGTGGATAGAGCGTCAGCCTGTGGACTGAGGGGTCCCAGGTTCGATTCCAGTCAAGGGCACATGCCTGGGTTGTGTGCTCAATCCCCAGCCGGGGGCGTGCAGGAGGCAGCCAATCAATGATTCTCTCTCATCATTGATGTTTCTTTCTCTCTCACTCTCCCTTCCTCTCTGAAATCAATAAAAGTATATTTAATAAAAAACTTATCATTTGTTGAAAAGATGCCAGAAACATGTAAAAAAACAATCTTATTTCCAGATGCTTTTAACTCTGTGTTGGAAATATCTATTGATTTATCCTTTTTACAACAAGATTAAGCTATGCCCATTTATTTTTTGTTATTACAGCCACAGAAGTTATTTTTATATTCAGATATTTTAAAAGACTTATATGTTTCAAATACAAATACTGTTTATTTTTTTAAAAAATAACTCCTTTATTTCTAAATATGATAGCCTTTGTATGCTATTTAAATATATACACATGTAATATTTCTAATGCAATAAAATAACATTCATTCTTGATTTTGTATTTCCTAACATTTTAAATTTTATAGCACTTATATTTTAAATTCTATATCTATATCTGTGGAAAGAGAATGTTCACCACTGAAAGGAATATACCATACTAGTAAAAAATGTAATAAGCCTTATTATTCTGGAAGATTTTGTAATTGATTGATAATTTACTTAATTTTTAAATTCATAAATGTATGAGCTAGAAGTAAATAATGTCAAACCAAATTACTCGAGAGTTTAGAGATAAATATGTATTTGTTTGCTTGTTATGTATTTGTTCATTCATTATTGTTTCTTTTGTAGAGGCCAGTATTTCTTCAGTTAGCTCTGACACTGTTAATTTCATAGATGAAGACAAACCTCTTCAAGGTATTTAGTTTATTTCTTATCAGCATCACTCTCATTATTTTTCTGTTTGTAATCTCTCAAAATTTTGATAAGGTCCTAGCCAGTTTGGCTCAATGGATAGAGTGTTGGACTGAGGACTGAAGGGTCCTGGGTTCGATTCCCATC